ATAGGGATCGTCATGTCGATCAGAACTCGAGACTGAAGGATCCTGCCACCAGCCAGGAAAGTTGACCGCAACGGAACGAAGAAAAACGTTTTTGTTTTCAGGCCTAACATGTTATGAGGGAGGAGGTGGCACCTGGGTGGGTGGAAGGGAAGGCGTGCTGCTGTTCTCAACTGGGAGTGTGAGGCTTTGTAACAGCAAAGCATCTCAAGCTGCTTTCGGTCAAAGCAAGCGGAATTCGACTCTGAAGTCAAAAACGTTTTTTTCTAAAGGCAAAGCATGCTAGAGTGAACCCCTGACATGCACAGGCGGAGCCCCAGTTTGCGTGGGGGAAGAGTACTGGGTTTTTGTAGGGGGTGAGGGCGGATTTGTAGGGGGGTTTGTAGGGGTTGGGGGCGGATTTGTAGGAAAGTCCGTTGGCTGCTGCAAATCATCTTAAAGACTTGAACCACCAATTCGTTCGCTGGAGCGGCGGAGCCACATTTGGTATTTTTTCTGGTGCTGGAACAATCCTAAAGGTTCGACCGTACTGGATCCAAGGGGGGGTACCGCAGGTCTGTATTTCAACAATTCATGGGTGTACCCACTGAGCTACCTTCTTCCCCCGAATACAATGTACGGTCATTATATCTGTATTTGAGGCATCTTTCAGTCTAGATACAGCTATAATGACCGTACGTTGTATTCGAGGGAAGAAGGTAGGCTCTTGGGTGCGATTTTCAATTCTAATGTCTGGAAACTCAGAACTCTGGAAAAAAAAAAAATATCAGGGATGTTGCTTAGGTTACTCCGCATCAGGGGGAATAATAAAAAAAAAGATAAACAAAAATGGTTTGGCGGTTTTGGCCCATGAAAAAGTATCTGTGCTGAACTGAATGCGTATTTTAATCGAAGTCGGTGGGACCCTGTAGGAGTGTCGTTTCGGGCCCGGGACTCCGGGAGTTCTTTTTTTTTTCTTCTTCTTTTCGTTTCGGTTCGTACGTTTAGGCTCGGTTGAACTGGTGGCTTAAGCTGGTCTTGCTCACAGTGAGAATAGTCAACCATGCTTTTTCGCTTGCATTCTTGTGGGGATCATATGTGACATATCTTCTTCTATATCTGTGTGGCTCTAGGTCGTGAGTAGAGGCCTGCTGGAACCTGAAAATGTTTGATAGAATGCCTTATGTCTGTCGGTCATTTGTGTGTGTGTTCGTTCATCCTGTTTTTGTTTTGTAATAGGGCGATGGTCTTGAGATGAGCGGCCCCACTAATTCAAGAATTTCACTTATCTAGCTCCATCTGGATTCAAAAACTCAGGTCTGTATTTCAACAGTTCGTGGGTGTACCAACTGAGCTATAACCTCATTGGTGTGTGTGTTCGTTCGTCCTGTGATAGGATACGAGTCTCCGCCGAGATGTCAGGTCGACTCTCTCGTTCATTCAATCGCTCAGAAACAGTGTGAACAATCAAGCAACACCAGGGGACGACAGCGAAGAGAGCGAGTGGTGATGATCAGGGTCTATTTTGGGCATCATTTGAACTCGGAAGTGATACGAGAGAGATGGTCCTCCTGTGGAAGAAGAAGTCAAGGTGAGCGCGACATCCTATGATGCTCTTCTTGTTTGAAGTTTTCATGATTCCACTGACGAGCACGATCGTCATAAATGAGGAAACAACTCCATTGATTGACAGGCGCTTCTGCAACGAGAATGGAAGGGGTGCAAAGAGGGGGGGGTGAAATATTCAATGCCTCTTGATGTACTCTACAGGGATGGGTGAGGCTAAACTTTTCTAGGGGCGCAAACAGAACCACGCTGCAGGAATTATTTTTTGTCATGTTTACTCACGTACAGATAGAAAACAACACCACAGCGCAACGGGTCGCATCGCAATGAATACATCTTGTATCTTGTATCTGTAGCTTCCTATTAACTTAGAATCAAGTTATTAAAACTGTATTGATGACGATCTGGAGGACAGGAGAATATTTTTTCTGAATCTCGATCAATAGATATTGTGATCGATGTCCATTAGCGGTCTTTTGACCTTTGCACACCATATTTTTGCTCGCATTTGACACACATCAGGTTTTAGGCGGAGAGGAGGGGGAGGGTTGTGTGGGTGCACGTGTGTGTGTGTGTGTGTGTGTGTGTGTGTGTGTGTGTGTGTGTGTGTG